GTGTGTGTGCGTGTTTGTGTGTGCGTGCTTGTGTGTGTGTGCGCGTGTGTGTGGGCGCTGGCTGTATCGCCAGCGCAGTCACTCTGCCTAGCCGCCGACGCAAAAGTGTGTGTGTGTGTGTGTGGCTTGTCGGCTTGCACGTGCTGCGGGGGCGGGAGCCCGGAGCCCCTCGACGCCAACGCTGGCCACGCTGCCGCCCGCAGCGTGGGTGGCGGCGAAGCCCCCAGAGCGGGTGACGGCGACGCGCCCGAGACCCCGTCCCCGGGCTCACCCTCCCAGCCCGCCTTGGGGCCCGACCCCGGCGCGGACGCGCGGTTCCTGACGGCCCCGCCCTGTGCGTCCCACTCGACTCCCCACCCGACTCCGCTTCCGACGCCGTCACTCCACATGCTCCCTACGACGCCCCCGACGCCGTCCAGTAAGAGGCTCCCGACACCGCTCCCTCCCCAGCCGTCTCCCTACGACGACCCCGACGCCGTCCCGACGGCGCCGTCGACGTTGTCCCCTTCGGCGCTCCCGACCCCCCCACCGAGGACGCTCCCGACGCCGACCCCGACGAGGCTCCTGACGCGGCTCCCTCACCGGGCCGACGCTCGCGCCCCGGCGCTGCACCCGACGCTGGCCCCGACGGCCGCCCCGACGCCGCCGTTCCCTTCCAGGACTGGCGCCCCCGCCCCAGGTCGGCCCGCGGCGTCGGCACCGACGCCGCGCCCGACGACGCTCCCTCCGCGGCTGGGCCTGGCCGCCACGCGCGTGGCCCCGCACGGCGCCGCCGCGCCCAACTTCTGGTCACGCCGCGCACGCCCCGTGCCCCACGGGCACAGGGAGCTCCACCAGCGGCCCCGTGTGGGCACGCCCGCCTGGCGGCGCCGTGCCCCTCTCATCGAGCGGGGCCTGGGCGCCGCGCGCGGGGCCTGGGCTCTCCCACTGCGATGCCGCCCTGGGAGTCGACCACGGCGCGGGCGCGGTCCCCGGCGCCCCTGCTGACCGTGGACCGTGCCCTGGTTGGAGCGCCGGGAGCTCCTTCGCTCCTCTCTGGCCTGCCCACGGGGGCCCGGGGCCACCCGTGCCTCGAATCGCCCCCCCTGTTCGCGCCGCCAGGCGGAGCGGGAGTACAGTCAACCCGCACAGTAAGGATGGGCATCCTTCCCAAAGGTACCCTTGCATCCTTGCCTCCTCGGTCCATCTTTGGCCACTCTCGTGGGCCGCGCTCCGCTCGAAAAGCTTCGAAATGGGCGTCCAAGGCCCTTGCATCCTTATCGCGCATCCTTATGATACGAGCCGTCCAGGGGGGAGTGGGTTACAAGAGGGGGTCGCGAGGGCACTCGACCCCCAGAGGTCTGGACCCTCTCCCTCGGGCCAGTTTTTCATGCTGAGTCGTCTTTTGACGGTCCAGAGATCCGGGAAGGGCCCCTGGCGGCCGAAAAGATAGAAACACCTCCCGTCGTGTTTTTTTCATAACGCGAGGGGGTCTGGGGGGAGTGGGTTGCAAGAGGGGGGCGGGACGTGAGGGCACTCGTGGCGAGTCTGTGCTCCTCTGGCGCAGGGGTGATGCCGGCGCTGTGGCGCCCCGTGGAGCTCTCTGAGAGCGGAGGGCGTTCACCAACGCGGGACGCTTTGTGCGGTGCTGGAGACCAGGGCCGACGCCGTCGCGGCAGGAACCTGGCTGCCACGGAGTTTCTGGAGCACGCGGGCGTCTGTCTCGGCGGCGAGCGAGGGGGGGAAGCGAGAAGAAAGAGGGGCCTTCTCAGACGGCGGCGGGATTTCTCAGAAGCCCTCGCCCCTTCTGAGATGTGTTCTGTGTCTACGGGGAAGGCTCAGAAAACTTCTCAGAAGGCCGGGGGGCTTCAGAGCCTTCTGAGAAAGCCTTCTCGTTCTCACTCCCCCCCTCGCTCGCCGACAACAGGTGGTGGACGAGGGCATGGAGTGATGATGAGTCGACGAACATGTGGCCGTAAACAGAGAAGTCAGGTCGGCACAATCGAATGGCAGAGGTGCGCTAATTCGTCATTGAATTGATGGAGCAACGTGCGCAGATGAGGACGGCGAAGCGACACATGTTGCCATACGGACGCGTCGGTTGGTACATTCGCATAAACGTCGATGCGATGCAGACGTCGTGGTATAGAGGCATGCAAGTTAGAGGCACATGTAGAACGTGCGTCCTCCTCCTCCTCCTCGTCCTCTCCTGCCTTCCTTTTCCCCCCGTTCTGTTGCTTTTCTGCTCCTGCCTTTCCCTCTGCCCTCCTCGTCGTCCCGCCAGCCGCTTCTCCTTCTTGGAACCATGGTGGGTGTCGCCAGCCCACCAAGGTGCAAAACGGGCAACCCCGCTCCCTCGTTTTTCTCCTCCCGCGCTCCTTCCTTCTCCTTCCTGGCCGCCTCCCCTCCCCCCTCTCTCTCCCCTCCCCGCCCCCCCATCCCCCCACGTTTATGGGCAGTGAGTACATCGTCGTCCAGCCCTCATCCCCCCCACCGCATTGGCCGATCTTCGAACGGCTAGCTTCTTCCCTGATGAGTGCCTACGTCAGCCCGAGTGGCGGAGCGGTGACCGTGCCCCCCCCCCCGCGCGCACCCCTCCACAGATTCTGCGCCATGCTGTTGTGCCGCGTCACGTGCGGCCGCATGTGCCCCGCCGCGGCCGATGAGGGAGGAGCATCGATGAGGATTGAACGTTTCGATGTCTGTGTGGTTGTGTGTGGGGGTGAGAAGGAAGCTAATTCGTGGTCAACGGAACCCGTGACCATGCTCCCATGCTTTGGACTCAGCTGGGCGTCGGAGGGAAGTGCGCGCGTGCGTGCGTGCGTGCGTGCGTGAGATGCGTGTGTGTGCGTGCGTGCGTGCGTGCGTGCGTGCGTGCGTGCGTGCGGGCGCGCGCGCGCATGTGTGTGTGTGTGTGTGTGTGTGTGTGTGTGAGAGGGCTCTGGAGGCTTTGGAATCGGCTCGTACGAGCAGGGGGGGATAGAGAAAGGGTGGGCTTCGTAATGTATTGCGTGCAGCTGGTTTTCGGTTACGCCGCTGGGCGCCTTCCTCGTTCGATAGATGTGCGCTTGCGGCGCCCGAGTGCGCCAGAGAAGCCAGCGGCGCCAAGCAGGCGGACTGGAACAGCGGAATCTACATGCAGGTTTCCAGAAAGATCCAGCCGCTGGAGGCCCTGAAGGCCATCGACAAGATGATCGCGATGGGCGTCCAGGCGGGCCCGAAACTCGTGAAGGCGGCGGCGGAGGCCCACCTCAAGGCCATCGGCAACATCAGCAGAGCGAACGGCGTGACTGTGCAGGCCGACTGGGACGCCGTGAACGCGACGCTCGGCCGCGTTGTCGCCTCCGTGCCAGAGTCCACGGTGATGCGTGTCTACAACCCGGTCTCGGCCATCGCGGATTCGGGGGTCCCTGCGTGCATGAAGTCCTTCGTGACGGGTGCCGATGCCGAGGAGGCGTGCTCGGCCTTCCTGGCCTTCAAGGACGCGGTGAAGAAGAACCTGGTGTCCTCGCTAGGACCCGCTGCTGCGGCGCTTTCCGGCGACAGCAATGGCGCAGCAGCCAAACAGCTCTAGGACGCGCCCTATCCATCCCTGACGTCCGTGGACTGGCCGTTCGACATCTACCTGAAGACTTTCCCCAGCGTTTCAGCGACGGATGCCTTCAAGGCCGTCGACAAGGCGATCGTCGTGGGCGCCGCGGCGGACTGGAACGCGCTGGAGACGACGGGGGAGGCGTGCCGCGAGGCCATCGGCAGCGTCGACGCCGAAGGCGCGATTTCAGCTGCTGACGACGAGGCCGCGAACGCGGCGCTCGGCCGCGCGGTCGCCTCGGTGCCGACCTTCAAGGTCATCGGCGTCTACGGCGCCTTCGCCAAGATCGGCCCTGGGCCCATGACCGACAAGATGCCCTCCTCGGTGGGCCCTCAGGCGGCGAATGCCATTGTCAGGGCGTTCTACGAGTTCAAGGACGTGGCGAAGGCAGCCCGCTGAGCAGGGCCCCCCAGTGCGGGGGCCGAGGAACTGCCAGGTCAACGCCCGCGTCGAGGTGTGATCATGCACTTGTTTTTTTTTTGTTTGCGTTCGCGCGATTGTGTTGAAAACGCCCGCGGCAAACCACCGCTGCCTCCTGTCCTCTGGAAGCGCCGAACCCTTTTGTCCCGGCTGATGACATGCGCCCCGCTTTAATCCCAGATGTTGATTATTTCTGGTCGCGACACTTCTTGTCGGCGGCGGGGGGCGGCGAGGCCGAGCTGTGCTATCCGCGGGCCAACTGCCACTCCGTTTTTTCTTTTATATTATTTTTTACTTTAATATAAAAATCGAAAACTATTTATACATATATATATATATGTATGAAAGAGCGTGTTCTACCGCTGCTTGCGGAAAACCGGGGGGGGGTCACTACCGGTTCGAACCCCTTCCCCCCCCCCCACCGGAAAACCGGGGGGTCAGACGGTTCGAACCCCCCCCACCCCCCCCAACTATCATGAATAAGGTGGGTGGGGGTCACTACCGGTGCGAACCCGCTCCCACCCCCCCGAAAACCGGGGGGGGGGTCAATACCGGTTCGAAAACCCCCCCCCCCCCCTCCCCCCCCCCCCCCTGCCAAAATGATGTGGGGGTGAGGGACAGTGGTGGACGGTGTTGTGGGGACAGTGGTGATGGATAAGCGGGACAGTGGTGGGGAATGGTGGGATCAGTGGACAGTGGTGGGGACGTAGTGGTGGGGACAGTGGTGGGACAATGGTGGGAACAGGGCGGGGACAGTGGACATGGTGGTGATGGTGGTGGTGGGGACAGTGGTGTTGGAAAGTGTCGAATGAGTGTGGAAACAGTGTCAAAGTGGGGTACAATGGTGGTGGGGACAGTGGTAGAGGCGGTGGCGAGGACGGCGGTGGGACAATGGGACAGAGGTACAGTTGGGACAGTGGTGGGGACAGTGGGGACAGTGGTGGGAACAGTGGGACAGCTCAGTGGGACAGCGGAGGAGTCAGTGGGACAGTGGGGACAGTGGGGATAGTCGGGCAGTGGTTGGGGCCGTGGAGACAGTGGGGAGAGTGGAACCGTGGGGGGAACAGTTCTGGGGACAGCGGGGACAGTGCGACAGTGGTGGGGGCACTGGTGGGGACAGTAGGGGCGGTGGTGGAACCAGTGGGGACAGTGGTGGTGAGGACAGTGGTGCTGGGAACACCAGTGGGGGATGTGATGCGGACGGTGGTGGGGACCGGGAGTCGTTTGCTGGCGGTGAGTGGGGGGGGGGGGGGGGGGGGTTC